TCTATGTTTGCTGCTTGTCAGCATTGCCTTACTCCTGCTGTTGACTCGTTGAACACGACTGCAAATAATTACATTGCGGTCGTGTGCTTGACCGCAATACACCAGCACTGGAATACGGAAGAAACAGAGTGCTGATTTAACTCTATGTCCTCATATCAGACATGTACAACGCAGTGTGTTAAAATTAGACAGAAGAGACAACACCACCCTCAAGTAATACTGGTATCTCTTGGCTGAGGGCTAATGTCAGTCCTTTCAGGGAGTCTTAATCCAAACATGCTCTGTTCTGCTTCGTGTAGCTCAAGTGCCTCTAGCTGAATTAATTCAGTAGCTAGAGAAGAGAAAAATAAGTCATCTGGCCTACAACTGCATGTTCATCCAGCAAAGAACCCCTCCTGAACTGCGTTTCATCCTGGAACTGAACCGAATTGTTGGAGAGAATTCTGTTGTTGTCTCACAGCCCCTTTGACACAACCTGGCATTTCAAGCTTAGCGCGAAAACCCTGCCTCGTGAGGCAAGGAAAGGACAAGAGGAAAGTACTCGTTTTCAACAACAAAAAAATGAAGAGAGAGAAACCCCACCCCGGATGTCATCTCCAGCTGCAAACACTCAGACAACAATTGCGGCAACATCTAAAAACACAAACAAGGAATCTGCAAAGCGAAGCGTGTCTGTTTTTATTCTGAGGCCCGTGTGCCAGTTTCCTGTTTGCTCTCGAAAGGTGAAGTAGACCCAGCGCTTCACCTGCAAAGCTATCGTCATCTCCTGAGCCCATCCTGTCTCTGAAGAGGCCTGGGTGCCACAGACCCAGGTGTCTGAAACAAACCGGTCCTGTCCCGGAGGATGCTGAAGACAACAGACTGTCTTTACACAACATGGCAGCTTGGCCGAACATGGTCAGTTTCAGGTTGCCTGCAGTCTTCAGTTAGCCCGATCTCGCATACAGCCCTGGTGTTGGCTCTTTCCTTTCGCAACCAGTGTTACTTCAGCAATTCATCCTCAACTTCATTCCCAATTAAGTGACCATTTTGCCTCAGAGGTCTTAGAAATCTGAAAGGTGTCATAAATGTAGGACAAGGCTGAGGTGATCACAAGTAATACAGCTGTAAAGCTGGAGTTTCCATGAGATGATCCACTATTGGGCCAGGACTGTAATTGGGTATTTCGTCACTTGCTGGTAAACCGCAACAGACAACTTCTATTACAAAATCAAGCATTATCGCCTCGCTGGAAATCGCAAGACTGTGCTGCCTTTAGAATCGAGTTACCTGGGGGCTTGTCTGACCGCTAAAAAGGGCAAGGCCAGTAACAGATGGTGACCAAGCCAATTCTAAGACGTGTAAAGGAATGTGCCACAGGCGCAGAGCGATCGCTTCATCCTGGAGATCCCAGATGCGTCTGTGGTACAGCACAGCACACTCTCCAATCAAATATTCATGACCCCGTTTCCATGACAACACTACAAAATGGCCCTCTCGTCTGGTGTACGATATTAAAAAAAAACAGCCTGCCTTGTCCGACCTCGATGCTTTTAGGCTGTCCAGTCATAATTTAGTAGTTTGAAAGTTGAGGAGAAGATATCGGATGACAGCGAAGCACAGAGAATTCAGGAGACACAGGCAACAGCCCACATCAGTTTTTTAATGGTTTATTGATTTGTATGCAGGATTACAGATGTGCCTTAGCATTAACCTGCTTCGGCTGAGGTAATTATAGCCTGGCCACGAGAAACAGAAAATCACAGCCTCCCCCATGCACCATGCAAAGAGAGCTGGATTCACACTCGGGTAGGAGTGTGGCTGAGGGCAGCAGGCTGGAAGAGATCCTTGGATCACCCAAACAAGCTGGATGGAGCGAATGGCTTCCTCTTGTTTGGAACCTTTCACGTGTTCTGCTGAGCTGGGGGGCAAGCTTCCTAAACACCATCAGACTGCCAGAAGAATGGCAAGTAAGCCTCTTAGGTGCACGGAGCTGCCAGACACAGGCCCGGCGCCCGGTATGTGGTTGCGACTGGGTGATCTCTGTGTCAGCGCCGCTCGTTTTAACAGGAGGGGACTGCCTGTGAGGGTCTGCACCCTCTCCGCTGCGGCGGATTAGTCTGCTGCTTTCCGGGACAGATTGGAGAAGCCATCGCCGCTCTTAATGTCAGGGCAAATCGGCCCCCCTTCGATGAAGGCGAAATGTCAGCTGCTGCGACGGCGGTCTGGCGGGAGACCTTTTCTATCTCGCCGAGCCCGACAGCTTTCAGGCCCAAATGTGAAACCAGCCCGGCTCTCGGGAGCTCTCCGCCAGGCCCGGCCGCCGGTAATGAACGAGAGCACTTCAGCTGCCACTCCGGTCTCTCCGGCACAATATATATGGAAATCAGCCTGATTTAAGGGCAGTTTTATCTCAATAGGCCCCTGGCCCTTCGTGCTGAGGAACGCTCGAGCCTCCGAGAGCAGGCAGGCCTCTAGTTGTCTTTAATAAATCAGCCCGCAGACGTGGACAATGTATCATTTTTTATTATTACTGTAATCGCGTGGCATCGGCACAGCAATTAGCATCACATCACCGCCGTGCGGATTGATCCCATCGACCTGTCAGCTGCCGCTGATTTAAAAGCGAGATAAACACCAGAGATATCAGTGGCATCCCGCCAATTAAAATCCCAAAATGACGCTGATGAGAGGTTTCCATTAGCCTGCTTGAGCCGACCGATCGGAGGGCGGGCTGTGGCTCGGGCCGGCTCTCAGATTTGTAATGGCGATCAGTGTGCATAACTTCGAACGACCGCAGCGCAGTTCTCATGGCCTGCAGGGCTGAGGGGCTCACTGGCAGTTAGAGAGCTGCTGATGGCTGGACTACTCTTGCCAGCCCTGCCTGTACACCTGGCCACTGGGGGAATCGGGGTACCTGGTGTTGGGGCAGCACCTCACAGAAGTTGAGCCTAAGGCTGAGTTCACTATGTGCCTCCAGACGGGGGCACTGCGCCCCAACTATCCTGCTGCCCTAGGAAACTTGGGAGTGTGC